ACTATCCACAATGACTCCCAAGATTTCTCTCTTGAGTAGTAACAGCTAATTTAGACCCCATCATTTTATATGTATAGTTGGATTATATTTTCCAATGTGCATTACTTTGCATTATCAACATTGAATTTCATCTGCCATTTTGTTACCCAGTCACCCAGTTTTGCGAGATCCCTTTGTAGCTCTTCGCAATCAGCTTTGGGCTTAACTATCTTGAGTAGTTTTGTATCATCTGGAAATGTTGCCACCTCACTGGCTACCCCTTTTCCCAGATCATTTATGAATATGTTGAATAGTACTAGTCCCAGTACAGACCCCTAGGGGACACCACTATTTACCTCTCTCCAGTCTGAAAACTGACCATTTATTCCTACCCTTTGTTTCATTTCTTTTAATCAGTTACTGATCCATGGCAGGATCTTCCCTCTTATCCCATGACAACTTACTTTGCTTAAGAGCCTTTGGTGAGGGACCTTGTCAAAGGCTTTCTGAAAATCTAAGTACACTATATCCACTGGATCCCCCTTGTCCACATGCTTGTTGACCCCCTCAAAGAATTCTAGTAGATTGGTGAGACATGATTTCCCTTTACAACAACCATGTTGACTCTTCCCCAACAAATCATATTAATCTATCTGTCTGACAATTCTATTCTTTACTATAGTTTCAACCAGTTTGCCCGGTACTGAAGTCAGGCTTACTGGCCTGCAATTGCCGAGATCATCTCTGGAGCCCTTTTTAAAAATTGGCGTCACATTAGCTATCCTCCAGTCATTCGGTACAGAAGCTGATTTAAATGATAGGTTACAGACTACAGTTAGTAGTTCTGCAATTTCACATTGAGTTTTCCTTCAGAACTCTTCAGTGAATACCATCTGCTCCTGGTGACTTATTACTGTTTATTTTATCAATTTGTTCCCAAACTTCCTCTAATGTCACCTCAATCTGCGACAGTTCCTCAGATTTGTCACCTAAAAAGAATGGCTCAGGTTTGGGAATCTCCCTCACATCCTCAGCCATGAAGACCAATGCAAAGAATTCATTTAGTTTCTCCGCAATGGCCTTATTGTCCTTGAGTGTTCCTTTGCATCTCGATCATCCAGTGGCCCCACTGGTTATTTATCAGGCTTCCTGCTTCTGATGTTCTTAACATTTTTTTTGCTATTACTTTCTGAGTCTTTGGCTAACTGTTCTTCAAAAAAAATTTGGCCTTCCGACTTACATTTTTGCACTTCACTTGCCAGAGTTTATGCTCCTTTCTGTTTTCTTCACTAGGATTTAACTTGCAAAAGGATGCCTTTTTGCCTCTGACTGCTTCTTTTACTTTGTCGTTTAGCCACAATGGCCCTTTTTTGGTTCTCTTACTATGTTTTTTAATTTGGGGTATACATTTAAGTTGAGCCTCTATTGTGGTGTCTTTAGAAAGTTTCCATGCAGCTTGCAGGGATTTCACTTTTGGCGTTGTACCTTTTAAATTTCTGTTTAACTAACTTTCCTCATTTTTGTGTAGTCCCCCTTTCTGAAATTAAATGCTACAGTGTTGGGCTGCTGTGGTTTCCTCCCCCCCCCCACAAGGATGTTAAAGTTAATTATATTATGGTCACTATTACCAAGCGGTCCAACTATAGTCACTTATTGGACCAGATCCTTTGCTCCACTTAGAACTAAATCAAGAATTGCCTCTTCTCTTTGGGTTCCAGAACTGGCTGCTCCAAGAAGCAGTCATTTAAGGTGTCAAGAAACTTTATCTCTACATCCCATCCTGAGGTGAGATGGATGTGTATATCATATAAGAACTTCCTTATTTTCTCAAAAAGGACTGCTACCTTTTGGATATATAATAAGGGACAAGTAGATCTTGAGAACTCACAGGTGGGGTTAGACCACACTGAGCTCCAATATGTTGGCTCCTCAGGGGTGAAATACACCCCAGAAGAGACCCAGCAAAAAGCCTCTTCAAGCCTACTTACAGCATAAGTAGAGTTGGTCAGAAGTGCTAATGAACCTAAAATGTATTTAAAAAAAAAAGTTGGAATCAAAACAAAATATTTCAAAGGGGCCGGAAGTGAGGAGAAACAAATTAGGGTTTTTTGGTTCATGAATACTGAGGCTTTTTGACTTTGCCTTGATGCAAGGTTTATGGGAGGAGGGAATTGTTGAACTCTGAAATATTTACTCATTTCCCACCCAGCTCTACTCAGTCTGGAGAGGAAAATTTGCCCCTTTGTTTGTTTGAACAGTGTACAGAATGGAAACACCAAATCCCTTCATTTTACACTGACCAAACATTCTGAAAATACAAAATCCTCTCACCCACTTCCCAGGGTTCCCCCAGAATAGCTCCGAATATTTGGTTAGGTTATGGATGCTGAGGTCACTCCGCACCTCCCTGGATTGGGCCCCTGAGCAACCTTCAACCCCAGACGGGTTTGCCATGTTTTCCCAAAATGCAGTTGGAGCCTCTTGCTCTGTTAGCAGCCGTTTCCAATGGTGAATGGGTATCAAAGGGTATTTAATCCATCTTTCTGTTGTTGAAATAGATTCTGATTTCCAGTCACACATAATTGATCTCATACTGCTGACAAACTTTTTTATATTTTTTTCTCTCTTTTGGAAGTTACTAGCTACTCTATTTCTTCTAGCAATAAACTGGAGTTTTACGAGTGTGAAATGCATTTCTTCACTCTTTCCCTCTGTAACGATTGTGGTGGGAGTGTTTACCTCTCCCAGCTGCCTTCTGTGTGGCCAGCAGCGTGACAATGGCAAGGCACCATCTGGCTCTCCCTAATTTTGCCAGCTGTAGGTGTAATCACCAGGGCAATTTCAGAGTCCAAAATCCCCATGTGCTCCTGTACTGGGGCCTGGGGGGGGAAAAAATGAGTGCGCTGGTACATGGAGGTACAATGAGAGTCTTTGAAAATGTGTCCTAGCTTCCTAGGGAATGCAAGCACTGCTTCGTGTTCCCATGGCATCAGCTTGAAAGCACCTGGCTAATGTGCACTGGGAAGCAAACGGCCCATGCCCAACTGCTGCCACTTGTGTCTGGAGCTGGTGTTTCCAAGTGGGGTCATTCGGCGATTACAGGCATGCCGGTGGGAGTGACGGTAGAGAGGCTGAGTCTCTGGGTGCCGGCTGTTTGGAGTGGTTCTGTATGGCCGTGGCTCACTTGATGATCACCAGCTGCGGTTGCCCCATTGCTGCGCATCTGGGAGCAGCACACTGTTCTCTTGAGCATCAAAGAACCATAGAAGTTAAAGAAGGGAGTAGGCCTGCTAGGTGGTGGTGATGGTTTGTACTGAGATAGCAGCTGGAGGCCAGCACCCCGCTGTGCAAGGTGCTGTACAGATCTGCGACAAAAGGTCCCGCTACACTTTGAGGTGGGGTATGATTCCCAGCTCGAGGAGACTTATTCGTGCTAGTGCTGATTGAGCGATTGGGCTAAAAGAGGTTGTAGTCAAGAGTGTCAGGAGGGGCTTGCAACCCTGAGCCCGGGCAGCGGCCAGCGGTCTGGGTGGGCGAATTTCGCCTGCGCATCCTCCTATGCTGCCTCAGCTTCACTGTTATTGTTACATGAGCTAGTTCTCGTCGGTCTAGCTTGGGTGTATCTATGCATGTTGCAGTCACACCTCCCGATTGTGGTGTAGACGTATGCTAAGTAGCATGTAGCCCATTCACCTCACCTGCCAGTAAAGGCTTGTTTGGGAGTAATGACTATCTTCACTTCTGGACTCTGCTATGTACAGGAAAGAGAACTGTATGATTTGTCTTGTACTAAGGCATGGGACTGGGAACCAAGTGATCTCCAGTTCTGCCACCCAATCTCTCTGTGCCTCAGTTTCCCATCTGGAAAGTGGGGATAACAATGCTGCTTTTCTCCCACTCTTTGCCTCTTTTTGTCCAGTTAGATTGCAAGATCTTGGGCCAGGGACTGCCTCTTACCCTGTGTACATACAATACCTAGCACAATGACACCCGGATCTCAGCTGGGGCCATACGTGCTGCTGTAAATAAAAATACATTTTATAAATAATAAGGAACCTGGTACAATAGGCAGCACAGAATGGGCTCACTTTTGTTTCACCTGTGCTCTGACTCAATAACAGGATTAAAAATCCATGTTCCCGCTGGTTTCTGGTTCTTTGTTCTAACTACTTGTCCCAGCCTCATGGGGTCTGATTTTCAGAGGGGTTGAGCATCTGCACCTTCCATTGACTTCAACTGAAGTTGAGGGTCTTCCACATTTGAGGGTGTTTGAATGGAGTCTTCAGTGGCGTTACTCTAGATTTATGCTAGGGTAGTTCAGGGCAGAAGCTGGTCCACAGAGTAGTCATGGAATCTGAAGGTGGGTTTCAGAAGTGCTGAAGACCTTCAACTTCAGTTGAAGTCAATGGGAATCTAACATTCCAGTTCAGCACCGTCTGTATGGGAAAAGGGTGTTTGTCCTATTCCCCCTACTTCATCAAATGACATCTGGTAGGGTGCCTTCCCAGTGGCTTGCGATTCCAGCATAGAAGGATGTGCAAGCTGCACCAAACTGACAAAATATTGTCTGGCTGAATCCAGTTAAAATCACTTCAAGTTGTACTTGCTGTAAACCTCTGTGGTGCAGGTCAGTGCAATGCCCTGATTGTTTTGATTTGAATAATTTTAAGCAGTGCCAAACACACACCGCTAACAAAGCACCTGAATAATAAATTGCCTGCTAAGGATTATGGCGATTCTTCAAGGACTGGCAAAAGAGAGTCAGGCTGGGAGGAAGGTTATTTAAATGCAGGTGATGTTTACGTTCTGCTGGTGTTAGTTTCCTTTAGTTAAAACAGCTAGCATTTCTGTTTATTCATGTTTGCCAATCAATAAATCCCTGGTGGAGGTAAAATAAAATGTCTATGGGTAATAGAACCAATCCTACCCTCCTTTCACTCGGCTGTAATGAGTATCACCATGAGAGTGATTTTTGGACTGTCTGGAAGTGATGCTTCCCCTTCTGTTTAATTGCTCTGCAGCAAGCTGTGCGAGATGTAGAGGGCCAAACACCAGCCTACAGCCTCCTGTTTTATCCTCTACAAAAAGAGACTCTGCTGGGGATGTAAAACGGAGTTCTGAATGTTTCAGTGCTGGAAGGGGCAAATGCTCACCAGAGAACTCCACGGCGGGACTCTTCACTTCTGCTTTATTAGGAATACAGGGAAACAAAAGGACTCGAAGCAGGTAAGTTTCAATAACACGACAGTGCCCCGAAAGGTGTTATAAGCCTGGTTTCCAGAGACATTGAGTACCTGCAGCTCCCCCTGACTTCGGTAGGAATTGTGGGTGTTCAGCACCTCTGAAAATCAGGCCCCACAATTGAGCTGAATCCAACCTACTTCTGCCTTCCTGAAACCCAGCTCCATGTCTTTTCCTCTGCCTGCCCGAGGTGGAGCTGTTTCCCCTGCCTCAACAACAGCAGGACAATATTGGAGAATATTTATGTCTGTAGATGTGATCCAAGAGTCATGACACCTAATCTTTGGTTGTGTGAAAAGGATCTTCTTTCCTTTGTCCCTATCCACCAGGGGGAGGGAATGAAGGATACAGTGACCTTAATTGCATTCTCCTGAGAGCCATCTGCAGGCCTTGCAAAGAGCTAGTCACCCCTCAGCTAATGCCAATCATCACAAAGGGGGCAGGTAGGAGGAGAGGTCATGCCATAAGAATGGCCATACTGGATCAGATCAAAGGTCCATCTAGCCCAGTATCCTATCTTCCAACTGGTGCCCCAGAGGGAATGAACAGAACAGGTAACCATCAAGTGATCCATGCCCTGTCGCCCATTCCCAGCTTCTGGCAAACAAAGGCTAGGGACACCATCCCTGCCCATCCTGACTAATGCCATTGATGGACCTATCCTCCATGAATTTATCTAGTTCTTTTTTGAACCCTGTTATAGTCTTGGCCTTCACAACATCCTCTGGCAAAGAGTTCCACAGGTTGACAGTGTGTTGTGTGAAGAAATACTTCCTTTTGTTTGTTTTAAACCTGCTGCCTATTAATTTTATTTGGTGACCCCCTAAGAGGTCATTTGGTACCATGGAGAGGAGCACATGCTGCTTCCTCTTAAAAGCTGTACTGGTGGGCGTGCTCTCCTTGCTGTTGGCAGAGACTGAGCCAGGATCCGTGGACCAGTGCCCATAAGCCACAACAAAGCCCAGAAGCCATTAAAGGTATACATGGGGGCAGGACTCAGCAAAGGTGCTGTGCTAGGGGTCGGCAGCTACTACTCTTAAGGGAACAGCAGCATGGTTCTACCCCCTACCTGTGCCCTTGAGGATGGCTGGCGCTGCTAGCCCAAGCAAAGGGTCACAGGGCTTGTGATCTAGAGGGAGTAACCACAAGAATATTAAATATTGGAGAAAACTGTGCTTATTAAAAGTAAGATTAAAGTAAAGGTGGGTGAAGGCTTGGGCAAGTAAAACAGTTATTCTAAAGCAATCAAATCCTACCATAATCCATGCTATTCATCTTGCTACTGACTTAAAAAATTACACTGTGCACAGGGGAAAAGCCGGAGTGAAAGTTGTTCAGTGGAATTTAAAATTTCTGTTTAATTGGTCTGCAATGCTAATTAGTGCTAATAGTCCTTGAGACAGGTCTGATAATTAGTGAGTTTCGTATCCAGTTGGGAAGCTGAGCTAAACACCTGCTTAACGTTGCTTCTGGATGCTAATGAATGAGGTGCTGTATTGTGGCTGTGCTGTTTGTTTCTAACAGCCTTACATATTGCTGCTTTAGCCCCAATTCTACAAACCCTTATGCCCAGGCTTTACTTTATGCATGTAAATAACTCCCCCCCCCCCCCGAAGTCTTGGATAATGCATGCTGCACTCCTACGCTTTGATTATGTAGGAATCTAGCAAATCTGGAGAGGGTTCCATATGGGAGTTTCAGTCTCTGGGACACATTATCCTTTGCTCACTGGGCTGGACCACCAGCTGGTGTCAATTGGCATGTATTGATTGTTTATCCAAGACTTAAGAGCCTCAGGCCCAAATCCCGAACTCGATATAAAATAACACTCATGGCTATCTGGGCACATGTGAGTAATGTAAGTAATTCCTCCTTTTCCAGGAAATGTCCACGTTCTAATGACCACACCTCACTATTTGCCTTGTCTTGTGTTGTGTTCACTTGTCATTCCATAGTGGAAGCCTGCATGGGAAGGACCTGGTCCTGTTTCGGCAATAATCTTCCATTGTACATTTAGGGTGTTATATACATGATTAGTAATAATGTGACCTGCAATTTAGTCCTTGGTATCCAATTATGACATTACGGAGCGCAATCCAGACCAGCGAGGGCTGCCTGGGCTGCCTCACAATGCTGCTGTAGAGCCCACGTTGGCTGCTCACAAACAGGAAAGCAGCATGCAGGGCACACCCTAAATGTCCGTGTATAGCTCCTGCCAGCAACACTCCAGTCACACTCTGGCTTCCACCAGCCTTGGTTGCCACATGCAGGGTGACCTCAACACCCCCAGTCCCAGATTCCCTCCTCCCCCCAAAATGTGTTTTATACTGCATTGTCCAGCCCTCTCCTGGACAATTCAGATAACAAAAAGGCCCATTGTTCCTGTAAGAGAACAATATACAACAACTTGCTCCTTTTAAATGGATTTACCACACAGCCCAGTTTAACCACAACACTGGATTAGTTTTGATTAAAGAATAAAACAAGTTTATTTAATGAAAGAAGATAGGATTGTCTGTGAGTACAAGCATTAAGGCATTAAAGTCAGAAATGGTTACAAGAAAAAGAAAGAGAACTCTTTCTAAACTTAACAAATTAGACTTGGTTCAAGCTGAAATCCTACCACATGTTTTCAGTACATTGCCGACCAAACCCTCAGGCTAGGATCTGCTCTCAAAGTCCAATGCCTGTTTCCTTTTTCTTAGGAGAAAAGAGAGAGAGGGATAGAGAGAGAACTTAGGGTGTTTTTGCCCCTCACTTTTAGAGTTCAGTCACCCTTTGAACTCATTTTCCTGAAAGTGACCTCTAGATAAAGTTCTTTCCAGCTGAGAGAAAGGAGACATGGAGGTGTTATGCTGTTTCTTTTAACCTGTGTATACTGCAATGCAGTTTTTCTTTGTCTTCTTTCTTCCTCTGCTCACTGTCTAAGGACTCTGTTTGCAGCTTACATGTAAATTGAGGCTACGTGAGTTTGAACATGTGCCTTTAACATCATACAGGCGGACTTCATAACATTACACACAATGCTGCTACATACATTCACCATGACATTGACCAGTGAGTTGTTAGTTTTCAAGGCATATTTTGTATAGAGATTATTACAATATGTGTAAGGTGTGAATACAGTTGTGCATTCGTTCATGCCAGTTACAGGGGAATGTTTTGTGTAACTAATACATGAACCATAGCATTGCAGTAACCCCATGCTTATTTCAAGGGAAGTATGGTTGGGTTTGCTTATCCCTTCCCTTTCTGTTCACTGTGTAATCACCAGTTCCACTTGATTAACGGTTCACTCATTGCTTTCTCACCCTCGGCTCAACAATGCTGAGCATTGCTACCCAATACAGCAAATGGGGCCAGGATGTTCAGCATCCAGTAGGACTGAGCACTGGTGTCATAACTATAAAGGGAAGGGTAATAGCTGTCCTGTGTACAGTACTATAAAACCC